CCATCCTTACAACGCCTTACGGCTCTCCGAACTTCCGAGCGAAGGCTGCGGTAAACCTCCTCATTCTCTGACGTGGGATGCTGTAGGCGATGAGAGTGGGCCTGTCGCTTTTTCTCAATTAACCTGAACACCTCCTCTGTCAGCCAGGGTTTCTGGGGAGGTCTGGACCGCGTACCCAAAGCAGCCATTGCAGCTGCATGAGTCACAGTCCTAAACCTCGCCCATTTACCCTCGACATCAGGTGGAGTGGGGGACGATGCCAACCCCAGCTGCAAGCGATGATGAAATTCTCGCTTGCAACTTTCATCAGCTAACTGAGACCAGGCCACTTTTGGTTGGAATGGGATCCTGGGTGTACACCCACCACCGGAGTGGAAGAAAGGCAGGCGCATCTTACAGATGACTAGTCAATGGTCAGAGGACAGATCAGCTCCACGGTAGGTCCTGGTGTCAAGGACATGGGTTCGCATCCGCTGGTCCGTCACTATGTAGTCCAGCAGATGTTCTTGCTTGGACCCGGCATGTATCCATGATGTTGTGTGGATGCGCCGATGCCGGAAGAGCGTGTTGGTAATTACAAGCCCATGGGCTGCACACAAATCTAGCAGCCTCCTACCGTTATTATTGAGCTGATCTGGCCCATGCCTTCCAATCACTCCAGACCAGGTGTCAGCATCATGACCAACTCGGGCATTGAAGTCACCCAACAAGATGACTCTGTCCCGAGTGGCCACTTTAGCCAGCACCTGTGACAGGAGGTCATAGAAAGCGTCTGACTCATCGGCTTTGCTTGCATCCCTCCACGGATGTTCGTCTTCGGTGGGGGCATAAGTAACCACGACCACCACTCCTCGCCTCTGGTTGATGGGAAGGCGAGCCCAAAGTATCCTGGGGCTTACAGCTTCCCACACCTCACCGCCACGCTCCCACGCCCCCTTCATTCTTTTGTTCAGAAGAAGAGCCACACCCTGTTGTTTGGCAGTCTCCTGCCCCGAGTAGAGGACTGTCCACCCCTCATGGTGGCAGGAGCCAGAACCGGTCCACCGGACCTCCTGAATGCCACAGAGATCCAGGCGGTACCGGTCCAGCTCCCGACAGAGGAGTGGCAGCCTCTCCTCCGCAGTGAGCGTTCGAACATTCCACGTGGCCATCCGCAATGGTTTTTTGTTGTTTCTGGAGGAGCCCCGAGGGTGAAAATTCAATCTCCTGGCTCCGCCAAATGGGGTTTGGCCAGGAGACGTCATACACACAAACACATACATACACATACATACACACATACATAGAGACACACAGACATACACATAAACACAAACACACATACACATGACCCGGCTTCGCCCGGGACTTGGATCCACGATGCCCCGCCGCCTTTGTCTCCCCAGTGACGATGTTGACACACGACAGTAGTTACGCTTTTGAGGCTGAGTGGACCTAGGGGAGGGCCAGGTCCGTTTCAAATAATCGTCAGCGGTGGTGGGCGTGAGTTGGAATCGAACTGGGGTCGCTCAAGCAGCTTAATGACTGTTTGTACAAAGAACATATAAAGAATCGATTATAATAACCAGGCAAGAGCCCACATTATAGACTGCCAGTACACGCACTCAGCTTCATAAGCAGGCTAGAGTGTACATGATAGAGTGGCAGTACGCTCACCGAGCTTAATAAGCAGGCTACAGTGTACATGATAGACTGGCAGTACGCTCACCCAGCTTAATGAGTATTTGTACAGTGAACATTAAAGTAATCGATTGTTGGCGCGTTGGGTTTAAAAGTAATATTAATAGCACACATTGTGGTGGGGGTGTAGTGAAGAGTAGGAAAAACTTTGATGAATTTACCTCAGAGTGGCGTGGTGGGTGTCGAGGCCTAGTAGCGTGCAAAGCCTGCGGCCTCGCCTAAAATTGTCGGCTTGGAAGAGGCAGGGTACGGGTGGCGTTCCTTCCCCCCCCCCTAGCGCTCCAACAATACTGTGTAATGGCTATTATTTAATTAAATACGGAGCTTATGAAAGTGGCGAAGGCGTGGCTAGCCGTTGGCAGGGGCAACCGCCGTCCAATGAAACTGCAGCCCTTGGCGAAGGCGTGGCTAGCCGTTGCCAGGTCCAATGAAAGCGGCGAAGGCGTGGCTAGCCGTTGCCAGGGGCAACCGCCGTCCAATGAAAGTGCGTATGGGCCAAAGTCCACACACACACACACAGACAGACAGACATGAACGATTTTATATATATAGATGGAGGCTTAATTCAAGTTGTAATGCAGGAAAGAAAGTTTAAAAAATAATCTTCTTGGTTCTTTCGGTAAAGTCACGTAGAAGGTAAGTAATAAAATATTATTTTATTATTTTATTACTTCCCTTCTACGTGACTTTACCGAAAGAACCAAGAAGATGAATCCCTGCAGTCACGAAAGCTTTAAATCGAAATTTAAAGAATAACACAAACACAAACTCCGTCAACTACACGTTAGCCTTATAAGGATAACATATGTAACAGATGACGTTTCGGGTATTGGCCCGCTTTTATTTTTGTTGTGTATGTACGTATGTGTGTATGTATGCATGTAGGTGTGTATGTATGTTGAACTTCTTTCGCACCGTACATAGCCAACCGTGCTAATTGGAGATGCGGGGGAAGGATAACGAACTAAACCCAAAAAGCACTGATGAATACATTATTTTTAAATTTAGAATTCCAGAGGATTTAAAAGTGCACAGCTCCAGTGGCGTCCTAATGTCGGAAGGAAGAGCGTTCCAAACGCAAGGACCATTGCCTGAAACGTCGCCTATTGAGTGTCTTTTTTTTTGTCTTTTAAGGTCTCAGTGTTATTGATGAATGTGTTGAGTTATTTTGCACCACGGCCAACGCAAAGGCAGCATCATCATCATCATTAAAAATAATTTGTATAATATTTAAAGAATAATTAGGCAATTAGATTGTTTAGAAATTAGATTATTGTACCGGTTATTACACGAATATATTTGTCAAGAAATATGCAATGAAAAAAGACCAACGCTTTAACCGTACGGTATTTCTGTTTTGTTTTAACAGACCATGCGGTTATTGTGGGCCTGATCCCGTACGAGATGTACCGACTGTAACTTCACAAAATCGTGGCAGAATAGGGGTTTCATTCACATTTTTTGCTTTAATGTGTAACTACGATATTTATGAAACGTATACAAATTAATTATAAATTATATTTATTACATTAAATTGCTTACGTGTAAATTATGCAAATTGTTGCATATAAATTATACGCGTATACCACATGTCGTATAATGTATACACATTTGCAGATTCAAAATTATCCTCAACAAGCATTCGTACGATTCACGTTTGTTTTTGTGCTTGGGCCACGTGGCAGATATCTGCTATTATAATTTGTTGTTAACCCTCCACCTCCCGACAAGATAGCCACGTTTACAAATACAATACATTATCATTATAAATTTTATTTATACGTCCCAATGTACCAATCAAATTCTGACCACCTCCACCTCCTTAAGACTCTTCTTGACAGAATTAAACACCAACGTACGATGACGTTTTTACTCAAACTGCATTGAGCATCATCAGGCAATGAACTCGGAGTAATCGAGTGAGGCTGCCTCAGCTAAGACACGTGACACCACCAACGGCCACAGCGTTGCTCGTTCCCATGTGTCCTTTGTAAGTTGGGCATTGAAGCCCATCAGCTAAACAATTGTACAATTATATATAATTGCTATCTTAACGACAAACCGTCCTGTCTAATTGGCTAATAGAGATATTGCACACTGCTTGTTGATCAAACGGTGGATGCGTAGATAGCTGTATACATTAATATATTAGCACGCATTCTGCCCCTTAACTACCCTCGATGTTTTTAGTGTCTACTTAACTCAGTGTTAATGGTGGGGGGAGGCAGGCGGGAGGAAATTTCAGTCAGACGATGACTGTGAATGCTTTTCTTGATTCTAAATATCGCTCACGTCCAACAGAAAGCTAGTGCGCATCAATGTTCTGGTATGAGTATTGTGTGTGCGTGTGTGTGGGTTGTAAATTGTGGGGGGAGCGGTAGTGTAGCGGTCAGCGCGCTGCACTACAAACCCAGCGACCCGCGTTGGCTTCCCGCTCAGGGCCAACACCAGTGACGATTATCTGAACAGGTCCTGGGCCTCCCCTAGGTCTACTCAGCCTCAAATGAGTACCTGGTGGGGAGACAAAGGCGTGGTGCTGGCCACCCACCCCCTCGTGTGCCATGCCAGCATTAATAGGTGCTCATTAACAGTACTTGCCCCAACAGTCTGTTAAGGCTATACAGGGGATCTTTGTTTTTGTCGTAAATTGTCAATTGTGTTGTAAATTATACCAATGTCTAATAACGCCCAATGTTGGAGTCAGTCAACGGAAACACAAAGATTAAAAACGCCAGAGCCCAAAAAGAACCATGAACCCCAATACGTAGTCATGAAATTCTCTAAAATAATCCTGCAGTAGGTTCAAGAAAGATTCGTACAATCAATATAGTAATGTATAGATGCCAAAACAAAGATGCGTTATAGATCCCTGTTTAGATAGATCCCTGTTTGTAATAAGATGTCTAATGTCTTGTATAAAGTCATGGAAGGGCTGGTGACGTGTGTAGCAAAGACCTCATGCTCAGTGCCTTCGATTCCAGGGCTCCATGCTGTGGCTAAGGACCCACAGCATGGGTATCTCGGCTTGCAATCTCACCACGATATAGTAGTACCTTCACTACAACAGTCTAAATGCCCGACTCGTGTATTGTAGATAAATGTTCCTTTCCGATACAATTGTGATGAGATCCCACTGGCATATCTATAACCGCCAATAATACTGCAACTCGCCAGAGCGATTTGCAGTATTATTAAGCTTTGATTGTTTTGTCAAGATTTAAATCAGGCTCAAAGTGTCTCCATCAGCAGTCACTCACTGATCTCAAGGTGTGACTCGGGGCATATACGTACGTGTGGTCCATGTCGTGTGTGATTAATACCTGCAGTGCTGCCACCGTATGAAAGGTAGGAGGATCCCGTCTGCTGATGCTGCTGCTGGTGGTGATGATTGGTGAGATGGTGGATAAAATGTGGCCGACTTTTCTCTGCCGGCGAAAGACGGGTGAGGCTTGGCGAGCTGCCAGGCGAACAATTCTGGTGCCACGTTGGACTCAGGCCGGTGGAAAATTCAGGCGACCCTTGCCCATGAACAGGAGGTGGTGCGTACAGAGGTGGATGATGATGATGATGAGGTAGAAGATGAGGTGCCTGGTCAGCGCTGGAGAAGCCCGTGCTCCCCAAGAACAGGTGGTGGTGCACCGCGCTCAAATCGCCAACGGAGTGGCTGCTGCCTCGGATAAAACCCAAACGAGACCCCACGTCCTGCAGGACGTCTGTCGTCTCCACCGCACGCACGTCCTTGGACCCGTGCGTCCCGGCGCCCAGGTGGCCCAGTGAGCCCTTGCTCAGCTCGGAGGACGTGAGCTCGTCTCCCTTCCCGAAGCACGCGTCCTCCCCCAGGCCCAGCTGCTGCCCCGAGCTGGGCCGCCCGTCATCGACTCTTTGGCTCTGGCGACGGTCACGGCCGCCGGGCGACCCCTGCAGCCACCGCCTTGCTCCGTTGACCCCGCCCGCGTACCCGTCTCCTCCGAAGGTCGCCGCCGACTGTGGCCCATCATCAGCCACCGTGCAGGAGCCGAGCGCTTCCTTCCCGCTCCGCGCCATCGTCGCCGAAGCCTCCTTGAGACTGCACGTTGCCCCTTCCGCATACGCGACCTTTGTAAAGCCGGGCGACTTTGGTAGATCTGGCCCTGAATGTTGATTAGCGTGGTGCAGGGCAGGCCTAGGAACGTCCATCCCGAGTGCCAGGTGGTGCTGCAGGTGCCCGTACGACTGTTCGTGGAGCCCATTGTTCTGAAGATGATTGGTTTCGTGGTGATGGTGTTGTAGGTAGTCATGCTGATGGTGTTGCTGCTGCTGCTGATAACTGTGATGGTGTTGGTTGTGCTGGTGCTGCTGATGAAGGGTCTGATGGGGAGGCAGATTATGATGGTGGTGATGTGACTGATCGTGATGATGGAAAGCCGTCGAGGTCAGCCCCACCAGCCCGTAGTGCAGCAACGCCTGGCTGCCTCGGTACGCCTGACACTTGAGCCTGAACCCCCGCGGCCTCCGTCGAAACGACCCCTCCTCAAACATGAACTCACTGGCCGGGTCGATGGTCCAGTAGTGGCCCTTGCCTGGCCGGCCCAGGCCCTTGGGCAGCTTCACAAAGCACTCGTTGAGCGAGAGATTGTGTCGCACGGAGTTCTTCCAGCCCTGGTAGGCGCCGCGGAAGAACGGAAAGCGACCCTGCAGGAACTGGTAGATCTCGCTGAGGGTGACTCGCTTGGCCGGTGAACTCTGGATCGCCATGACGATGAGGGCGATGTAGGAGAAGGGAGGCTTCTCGGGCCGACGCTGGGCCCCGGGGCTGTGTTTCTTGTGGCCGCAGGGCCGTGCGGCCTCCGAGCCAGGTGACTTTAAAGGCTCGTGGACGCTCGAAGACACCTCCATGGTCATCGTCCCCTCTGCTCAGCGCACAGCACGTGCCACGCACACAGGCCCATCAATCATCATCATCAGCATCAGCAGTAGCACCAGCAACATGAATCGGCAGCAGCAGCATCTTATGGATATGCACTGCTGGATGAAACCTTTCCAACGAGACGACGCATAATCATTCACCGCACACAAAGCTGTATGCCGCGTGTCGGTCGGCATTTGTTTTTAGCTTGAGGAACTGGGATTAGCAAAGGTCAAGTCGCCCCGAAATGTACCCAATCAAGTGAAATGTTGTAAGATAAGCAGCGCTGAACCTGGTTAGCGCTCGGAAAGGTGACCACCAGGGCTTTCCAGGTGTTGTAGGCGTGGAGCTGTGAGGTGTGGCGAGTCGATGGCAATGTATTTCCCAAAGAACCCAATGTAGCATTCCCTTGAGAATGCATCTTGAGGCTCATGAGATGCACAGCCATCTTAACACACAATGATTTCTGCGTGAACCGCACCCCTGACTAGTATGGTTCGCTACGTACGGTGCGAAAGAAGTTCAACATACATCACAGGCATGAACCACCACGTCTGGCTCTGTAGGATCATGAAAGCACGTGTGCTTGGAAATTCGAATGCCTCATCACCGCCAGGAAACAGGACCTTGCAATTTGCGCGAATAATGAATTGCGATGGTGCGTGGATGGACGCCTCGCTGAGCCGTCGCCATCTCTCACGGTCGAGCGATACAAGCTAGACTAAACTAAACACTTTTTATTTTACTAGGCAAGGCCCTCTGAGCTATACAGCTGTTTTTCAAAGGCGACCTGGCTATCACAAATTATAGCTCAACGAAGTGGCTTATGTGGGAATGTATAGCAGCCAAATACTCTAAACCAGCGGTTTCTAAACCTTTACTGCAGCCTTGGTTCACAATCTTAAACATAACAAAAAATACACAGGGTTTGATGAAACAAAGTAGTTGTACTTACGTGCCCTTACTTAATTTGTGTTTCGATGATTTACCTTCTTAAAAAAATCTGGCCATGTCTCGCACCCCCAGGAAGGGCATCTCGCACCTCCAGAGGGTGCGTGCACCCAAAGTTAAGAGCCACTGCTCTAAACGCACGTTGATTATAAATGTGGAGGGAAAATCGGAAGACACGGCGAAAAATCCACACAATCACGCCGAGAGAGCCATGCAAACTCCAAATATACAGAAGTCAGGGTCGGGATCGAACCCATGACGACCTCCTGTATACCAGGCGAGGTAGTTAACATCTAGTCACCGCGACAAACGCCACCGTCGCACGAGCTGATTGCATTGCTCCGTCTGCGCGGCAGTCCACGTCTGGGTCGCGTTCGCTCCTCTGGTTGCCGCTCTGCTACCAACTTCGACTCACCGTTGACGATGCTCGCCGCGACGTGTCCTGCCCATGCCCTGCACATACTCTTCTTAGCAATTTCAATGATTAAGTTAAGGGGCATGTTTTTCTTTCATTCCACGTGTTCCCCTCTCTCTCTCTCTCTGCCCCAGGGTAATTCCTAGCATGCACTTCTCATTGCTTATTTGTGCAATTTTGGCCGTTGGTATATTTACTTTCTCAATCCATCAATTAATCCCCTAACTTCGTATATTTAGAGATCACTAAATATGTTTTGATTAATGGAAAATGATGTGCGAATTACTATGCTGGTGATGTTGCATTAATGATGATCGAGTGAATAAAACTATACAAACAGGAACAACACGAAATCAGACTATGGTGTGAAAGCCTCTGGAAGTAGTATCACGATTGGCGGTTGGGGTTTACACGACCTATTATTTTATTGGGGTGGACAAAATCTCTACCACATTTTGGGAAGTCAACGATGGTTATTTGATAGATGTACTCGCCCTTGTCATAGGAATGTGGAATTGTCACGGCCGCCAGTAGAAGTGAGCGCCATTCTACCATGGTCCAATTAGGAAGTCAAATTAGTTTTAATTATTAAAATGCGGTAATGTTTTTTCGTAACATTTGTATAATCACTCGCATTATTCCCGTTAAACGTTGAATAAAATGGGCTAAAAACAAATATATCACTGATGATAGGGCGTGTGTATGCGAGAGTGTTTCGTGTGAGGCGTAGCTGCGTGGATCTCGAGGCTGAGCCTGCCATGTGAGTGGAACCAGCCATCAGACAACTCGCGCTCGCAATTAGGTTCACAACTACACCGTATACATTTCGATTTAAAGCTTTTGTGACTGCAGGGATTAATCTTCTTGGTGCTTTCGGTAAAGTCACGTAGAAGGTAAATAATAAAATAATAAAAATAAAACATAATGAAATACAATTCTCACAACGTTTCGACCACAATGCAAGCAGCCGTCCTCAGGTGAAGAACAGGTCGGAAAGACAGCGTCGGAATGAACACCACCAAGATTGGCAGCGTATATTTAACCGGGGTTTTATTTTTATTATTTTATTTTTTCCCTTCTACGTGACTTTACAGAAAGAACCAAGAAGATGAACACCGTATACAGTTTAAGGTTTTATGATTTTTTTAAATTATTATAATTACTAGATTGAGCAAGATGTCACCTCTCTATCCCATCGTAGGTTCACAAATACACCGTATACAGTTTTAGGTTTTATGATTTTTTTTAAAATTATTATAATCTACTAGATTGAGCAAGATGTCACCTCCCTAGCCCTTAAAATAAAACGAAATGTACAGATTTCCACCCCTTATAGATCAGCAATATAGCGTACACCAGTCAACTTGGTCAAATAACACCTACAACGAATTGTTTCTAGATTTGAAGTTTTCGTGACTGCAAGGATTCATACTCTTTGGTTTTTTCGGTAAAGTCACGTAGGTAAAAAATAAAAAATAAATTAAATCACGACGTTTCGGAGGCAACACAAGCTTCCGTCTTCAGGTGGAACCGTCACAGCAAAATTACTGTACAGCAAAATTACCTTGATACAGTAATTAAAATTACCTTGATACATTAATTTTGCTGTGACGGTTCCACCTGAAGGCGGAAGCATGTGTTGCCTCCGAAACGTCGTGATTTATTTTATTAAATTTTTTTACCTACGTGACTTTACCGAAAAAACCAAAGAGTATAAAACGAATTGTGTCAACATATACCGCCTGGTCAAAACAACTCGCGTGATCGTCACGGCATGGGCACGCATTGAATAAACAGTGGATTAAGAAAGTACTTTTAATTATTGTGATACGAACAAATGTTTTAGTATGAAAAACAACCTAAACGAGAAATTATTTTAATTTACACCGAGTTTGTATGTTACATCTGAATATATGGAGGTGAAAGCTGGACAATTACAGAGAACCTACAGAACAAATTGTAGGAAATATAATTGGGGTTATTATTAAAGGGGATGTTAAACATTTCATGGACAGACACCCGCTGAGTGACATAAATGTGCTACGGATAGGAGTAGGATACACAAAAATAAAATTAGTGATCATAAATAGAGAAGTGAAAGGTTAGATTTATTAGATAGATGAAAAATCGAGAGACTGAATGGGAAGGTTATAGAGGTGTATACCACAAGAATTCGGGAAAGGCCGTAAAGTAAGTTGCAGAAGAAATTTGAACAATATGATGCAAACTTTTAGAATGTTCTTTTCGCACGGCTGATCTAAATGCAGAGCAACAACTACAATTTCACATGCATGTGGTCACGCCAGATAATAGTGTCAGGAACAGCGGAGTTGTTTATCATCGCTGCGATGTCTCCGTATTTGTTTATCGGGCATTGCGTCGTTATACGTTGTACAGTCTGTTCTGGATGACCACAGTCGCACACTGGAGAGTTTTAAATGTTCTGTTTGTGCATCGGGTATCCGTATCTACATTGGTTTGTGCAGTGGATGCGGTTTAGGGTGGACCATGAGCTCAGTGCCGGATTATCCTAATAGCAAAAGTAGCATATGCTACGGGTCCCGCATTTTCAAGGGCCCCGCGGTAGATGCTTTCAAGCTATCAATTCCGGTTCAGTGATTCTGCACTTGCTCTATTGCTATAGTACTATACTGCCTTCAACTTTTATGAACGACAGGGTGTTTAAGGTTAGCGATTTGTCGTATTATCTGGCTGTATACCAAGTGAAAAAATACAATTACTTTACTATGCAAGTAAAAAACGTGTGTTTTATATTTGTGTGTTTTTATTTATTTAGGGCCCCTTTGTAACATATGCTACAGGCCCCGCACTCGCTTAATCCAGCACTGCACGAGATTCGTGGAAGATCAACAACAGGGATCTTCTGTGCTGGGTCTTCATCGTGGACAGAGCTGAGTGGAATAATGGGTCACGATCGCCGATGTCTTTGAGAAAGGACCGTGACTCACATGGAGAAATCGAGATATATTGTACAGGTGTTTGTAACGCAATTATAATTAGGTGCGAACTAATTTCAACATTCATAGTGACTGCAATTTGTATGCAATTATGTGAGCGAATACTCTATGTAAATGACGTTAATCGTTGGATGTCGAGCACAATGTTATAATATCTTTAAACAAATATTTCGTACAAGAGAATGGATACAATATAAACTATATATGGATATTAACTCCTTTTTTTAGACAATACAAAAAGGCACAGTCGCATACACAATCCACATCACTTTCATTATTAATATATTTAATCCGCAACAAGTTCTACCAACTTTATTATTTTGCAGTAGCACATCTATGAATAGAGCTATGCATTTAATGCGTTACATAACGTGCTTATTATATTAAACTGTTGAATAATGTATGCACAAAATACGATTTGATGTATATCACGGATACAATATGCGCAACAAACTACGAAGGACCATTAGTTCTGTAAGATTGTTCGACTAGTGTTGTTAGCTTGCGCCTATTAAGGCCGCCACAGCACACACAGTCATTTTGCAACTCCCCTTTAGCGCTTTAATACAGATGCTTACAACCATATAAAGTGATCATTTATGCACTTTGGTTATTTCGGTAAAGCCACGTAGATTCCTACGTGGCTTTACCGAAAGAGTCAAAGAGTATGGATTCCTGCAGTCACGAAAGCTTCAAATCAAGATTGTTCATTTATGGCTGAGTCAACCTAGTGGAATATCAGGTTTAGATTCCGCTTACCGCTGAGGCTGTGACCGGGAATAAAACCGCTGCTGTGTATGGAGAGTTGGTAGCGTAGTGGTTAGCGCACTGTGCTCCTAACCTGGAAAACTGAGTTCGATTCTCGGCTACGGCTAACATTATTGGTGATTATCTGATCCGTTCCTGGTCATCTCGGTCTTAAATGTCACCGTGTCAACGTCAGCACCGGGGAGACAAAGGCTGCCGTGGGCGGTAATGGCCACACCACCCCCTCGCACCGTGCCGGTCTTCATAAGCGCTCGCTAACAGCACTTGCCCCAACAGTCTGTGTAAGCTACACCGATGATGTTTGTCTTTGTATGGTGCAGCAATTAATTAGCGCACTGGGCGACAACTCAGTCGCGACCTCGCTTTAATTCCAAGCTATAATTCCAAGCTATGGCTATCAGCAATGACGAGTGATATCTGAACATGTCTTAAGCCTCTTCCAGGTCCACTCAGCTTTAAATCGGGAGCACTCCAGCGGCAATGACATAACAACGATGGTGCGTGGTGCTGGCCACCCACGCACTCGTGCGCTGTTCCAGGCTTAATAGGTGCTCACTAACAACACTTTATCCAACAGTCTGTTAAAGGCTACCCTGACCCTACCTCTAGTAAGAACCCTGACACCCATACTGACCCATAACTTCACCCTTCCTCTCGCTCTTAATCATGTTGGATCAATATCTTTGCCTCGGGTACGCAGGGATTAAATTGGTCAGCATATGTCAGCATATGTCAGCATATGTCCCGATGGGCGACCAGGAAAATTGGTCAGCATATGTCCCCGATGGGCGACCAGGAAAATACGTCTGCGCCCGGTACACCACATCCAGTATCGCTCTCAACATGTCTGTGTGGCCACAGCGATAGACGCACGTGCTTTTACTCCACTCTACCAGTTGACCCGGAGACGTGCCTCCCCGCGTGCGTGTGCGTGTGTCCACGTACCTGCGTGTGTGCCACTGGAATAAGCCTCAAGCATAGAGAAGAGCGAAGTAGGAAGTGACCGGTGGTTATCACTGCGATGCACGGGAAGGGAGGGAAATGCACGGGGAGCAGGAGGAGGAGGAGCGGCCACGCGCTTGGGATGGAAGGGGTCGCAGACAACATTTAGCTGTGGGGTTGAGTGTGGTGGTGGTGGTGGGGGGCTGGTAGTTGGGGGTGAGGTTGGGCTGACTGGGGAAGGGGGGGGTCCACATACACCCCCTTGTCCTCCTTCCCTCCCCTCTCCCCCACCCTCAAGGGATCTACTCTAAAACTTGTGGAGCACAAAGAATCCATGCGGTGACATTCAGCAGTGCAAGCTCTGTCGCCACGAATACGTGTGCAGCTCTTCGTGTCGTGAAGTCGCTGCTGGCCGGACGAGGTCCTCCCCAAGTCGTGCGGGTCGTGAGTGTTGTTTGACCTATACTTCACCCAACTATCGTAGAGTACAACAGTGTATGTCGCTGCCCTGCCCTCTGCTGCCCACAATGTGAACCAACACGTGCAGGACTACTCACCTCCCCATCCCAGGGTTCTTCATTGCATGGCCCGCGTGTGCCACTGACGGGCCCTTGGTGGCCTTTAGTGCGGCCCCGGACAACACGCAACATGTCGAAACACCTCCCATCATCGTCGTGGTGTCAACCCCAGCAATAGTTTCACATGTGTGTCGGCCCTCACACCGATTGTGTCTTGTCGGCGAATGTGGCCCCCTCTGAAAATTCGTGAAGAGCAGTGGACAGCATACGTAGTTTTTCATCCAGCAGTGGATCGATTACGGCTCGTGATGATTATAAGGTAGCGACCTCTAGTGGCTGCAGGTGTCACGCAAATCCATTGCATACAAAAACATAATACTGGAAGGAACCTCCTGGTTACACCAGCCCACATGGGGATTATTGTGTCCGTCCGTCGTGCATCCAAAAATGGGAGGGGTGGGGCTGGGTGGGAAGGGAGGGGCTGGGTGGGGAGGGGGAGGGGCTGGGTGGGGAGGGAGGGGGAGGGGCTGGGTGGGGGGGGAGGGGCTGGGTGGAGAGGGGGAGGGGCTGGATGGGGAGGGAGGGGCTGGGTGGGGCTGGGTGGGGAGGGGCTGGTCACCCCGTGGTGCCCTTATAAAACTCAACGTTTAACCTACTCACGCCGGCTTGTGCCCGCCCTCACAGTCGGGCATATTTGCGGAATACACCACGCCGCCGTTGACCCTGGCCATTGACCGAGCAACCCAACGTTCCTACCAGCTCCCTCCGCAGGAATGTGTTATTCCAGCCGTTCTTATTCCCTCAACGTGTAAATACATCTCCATGCCATATCAGTCATCATTACGAATAATAAATAAATTGGTTCTCACACACGAGTCTATAGGCACGGTTGTAGTGAGTGAGCTCAATATCGGCGTGAACCAATTGATGGGTCACACCGCTGATAATTAATTAGACGATGCCCGGATAACGACGAGTCCAGGGCATGCGCCTGATGAAGCCTGTTGTAATTACTGGCGAAACGTCGTACTCAGATTGTAAATGTTGTGGCTTTGCTCTCTAACATACCGGTGTGCTGTACTAGTATACTACACTATACACTATACACTGCACTACACTATACACTACACTATACACTACACTATACACTACACTATACATTAGTGCTGTACTAGTATACTACACTATACACTATACACTACACTTATACACTGCACTACACTATACACTAGTGCTGTACTAGTGACGAATTGGCACGTTCTGTTTGCGTGACAACCCTTACTGGTTGGCTGTGTCGGGTGGTGGCGGGTTTAACGACACATTTATATTTACGCGATCTAACCCAAAAAACCTGCATTATAAATGAAGTGTGGCTATAAACAGTTTTTATTTTATTTTACCAGGTACCATCCCACTGAGCTATGTAACTATTTTTCAGAAGCGACCTGGCCACAAATAATAGCTCAACGAAGTGGCTTATCATGTGGTAATTTATAGCAACCAAATACTCTAAACGCATGTTTATAAATAGTTATTTCCATTTTTATTACCAATATGATTCTCGCTTACACATTTTTAAATTAAGCGTTAAACTAAAACCCTGTAATAAATGTTAATCATTATTACTATTAAATAACCGAAACGAGTCCTGAAATACAATATGTAGTAATACAACGGTGGGGTGAGGATGGAATAGAAATATGTATGGGAGTGTAATTTGTACACAAACATAAAAAAACAAGAAAAGTTCATCTATGTTTACACGCACAAATAGATGCCTGTATACTGTATCGCCTATAAGATTAGATTTTTTTAATTAATCGTGATGTCCCTACACATGAAGAAGGATGCGAGTTCAAATCCTGGTCCTCGTGGCGTGGAAGGCAACAGTGATTGTCATCACTTGGATATACTCGCCCCGCCATAGGAACGTCGAATTTCCACCACTGGCTCAGGCCTGTAAACGAGACACTGACTGACCTGAGATGAAGGACCATTGCCCGAAACGTCGCCTATTAATGTTTATGTTTGTTATATATTTAAATGATTATTTATTTATTATATTTTTTAATGGGTTGGGGAACACGGGGCCGTGGATCTGCGCGATGCCTTTTAATCGATGCGCACTCCAAAACCCTACAGCGTATGGGCATCGCACGCCTCCGCAGCCAATCCGATTGGTCGGATTGCTTTGCCCTCAGCCAATCGTGCGAGCGGCAACGCAATCTGACGCGGCGAACTGACCAATGGGGAGACTCGTCTCACTGGTGTTGCGCGTGCAGTGTAGGGAATGTAAATCTATTCGCCCGAACGCTTCGCGTAGCAACCAAGGGAGTGGTTTGTTTCGTCCTCGGTTGTTCGTGTGACAAGGCAACAATGGTTGGTTTGTTTGAAACTTTATCACGATTAAAAGTGGTGTTTAAGTGTTTGTAATGTTTTTGGCTGCACTGTTGGCGTTATGGGCCGCGTAGTTTGTATGTAGAGTCTATTTCATGTTGTGTTGATTTGAGGCCTTTGCGTAGGCCCCGATGTTGAACCGTCATTTAAATAAGCATTACATGCTATTTATATCGATATTACAAGCTTCACGTGTTTTATTAGGTATGATAATGACTAACAGTGGTTATGGTGTTAAAATCAATATATTGTCCTTTAATTAAATTGTGGTTCAGTTTACAATACTATCCCTATGTGCATCACAGCCTTTGGTATTTATATTGTCAAATAATTTCAACTACACTTTTATCAACGTTAATGAGGTAACTTCAACCGAAAAAAACGCACAATTTTTAAATCAGCCATTTAATACTGAAATGTGACAGTATTACGTACCGTTGCTATGTATAATGTGATGCATATACAAGTTGTTTGTCCAATGCAAACACCGGTCTTGTGAGAATGTGGAATTTTAGACGGTTACCGCCACACGTTCCTGGAGGCGGGGAAATACTTAAACCTTTTAGCTCTCATTTAAGAGGTGTTGGAGTAAGGATGGCATCCATATCGATTTTTTTATACATGCAATGACGCTTCGTATTCTGTCGTGGATTTACATCGCCCTTGTACAGCAGTGGCTTAATCCACTGCTAGATGAATGCATCAGCCTCTTGTGTGGGTTGTTTGAACATGCTGCTTGTCAGTGTGAGTTGATGACTGGGTGAGGATCCCAGAACTGGTTCGGATATCATTTGGATATCATTCGCATTGTGTAGCACGCGGCAGTCCACTAACAACGATACGAGTACGACTGCGCTTCTCCAGTTAAGGGCGTATCACTTTGTAACAAGAATTATGCACCATAATAATTATATTTTCTTTGGGTCTTTCGGTAAAGTCACGTAGATAGGTTCAAATAAAATTACAAAAACTACGACGTTTCGATCGCAACAAGCGGTCGTCTTCAGGAAAAAAAAAAGACCCAAGAATATGAATTCCTGCAGCGACGAAAGCTTTAAGTCACCATAATAATTGTTTACACCAATATATTATTGTTAGGGTTCGACTTAAGTTACGACGTAAGGTTACGTAGGTTTCTTTTGTGCCAATAGCCGCTTGCGTAAACCATTACGTTTTGAATGTATTTAAAGACAAACTAATTCAATTAATTTGCATTACGAAACTGGTCATAGTCGTTTTCGTGTGTTAGGTACACGAGTGTTAAAAGCTACATGCTCGGAGCTAGTAGCCGGTAGTTTATGGTTAGTAATTAGTATGTCGGTTACTGGGATTACGTTGTGGACAATCAGAAGTTAGTGCAGCAAAATACATTATTGTACCATATGTATAGTACTTTTATGCTACTACGCCTAGCTCCCGGCCTTCAACTTCCACTGACCAGCGTGGTGAAGCATGGTATAATATCACCACGACCTAAATAGTGTGGGCATGAACTCATCCAGCAGTCGATTGACGAAAGCATTGTGCTTGTACATCGATTTAAACAAAAAAGTACAAAAAGGGATTTAGTCTACTTAAATATGGTTAGTAGGTCGGATGAGTTTTGTAACTCTCTTTATTAACTCGCTGGGACGGGCATTTCAGTAAATCTGAAACTTTTTTTAAGTGAAAAAGCAGGCCGTGACGTGATATTCATTGCATCAATTCGTCTGCAATTTGTAAGGCCGCGGTGACACATACTTATTGAATTTAAAGGTTATAATCCCTTGTTGATCATGGTTATGGTAGCATCTCGTTCGGGTGCTATTAGGTACGGCCGTCTAACGATGAATCACGATTGTCTTTGATACCCAGTCTGAGGTGGAGGAGACTCTGAAGAGGATTCAGACCCACAAGGGGGTGATTGGAACCATCGTGGTGAACGCTGAGGGTGAGTGCCGTGGCACACGCCGGGTCCATATTGTTCACTGGAACAAGGGCAGTGAATCCAGCGAGGTGTCGTCATAGTGCATGCGTGACCCTTTCTGTCAATCCACAACTGGACGAGGGCCTTCTCGTGTAATGTGGGTTGTGGGGAAGTAGCAAATAGTAAACGTTTATCTGGAGATGGAAAACAACCCATGAAGACAACATTTGCATGGGTGTCCTAGGTTAAATCACAAGTTTATTTAAAGTTATACAGGCAAAACAGAGCATCCGCAACACAAATATGAAAAATACACTTAAGGTGAAATTCCACCATACATTTGTAGTAAATAAGAATCAGAAATAATGAACCAAATATTAAGTTGCTAATACATACAGAAACTATAGATTATAATAATGAAGGGAGTTAATCTAGCACCTGAGTGAAAATGGGTGGTTTTTGAAATATACGAGGCACGTAAAGATTACTTGGTTAAAATTCTTATGCTCTCGACGTGTGCATCGAATTGTGTGTGTAACAATATATTTTCAAATCATGCAGAATTGATGCTACTTTTTATGATGGCTGTGACAAGTGAACTAAAACATGAGATCAAATAAATGATAGTGCAGACAAGACTGAAATTATACAGACGGTACACATGGGAAAGTATAAACAATTACAAACTTCGTACTTGTGATAGAAGGGGGGTGGGGGGGGACATTGTACCAAAGTCTTCAACAAAATAAAATGTGGACATTGCCTTGTGCCACCATCGCCCTCTCCACAGGCATTCCGATCCGCACGACGCTGGACAACTCGACGACGGTGCAGTACGCAGGCCTCATCCACCAGCTGACGATGAAGGCGCGCAGCACGGTGCGCGACATCGACCCGCAGAATGACCTCACCTTCCTGCGCGTGCGCTCCAAGAAGCACGAGATCATGGTGGCGCCCGGTGGGTGTAGGGCGCAGCGACACGGGGGGCCCTGCCACTTAAAGTTGTGGTGGTGGCCGCAGTTGTAGTGGTGATAATTTAATGGATTTCCGAATAACGTTTCTTGGCAGATTTCTGAAGCTAACTCGTGTTAAGCCTTATATAGTGCTTGGATGGGTGACAACCATACATTAATGGGTTGCCACAGGGCTTGGGGGGCAACGTGGTGAGCAGTAAAGGTCGATGCAGAAATATACATGGTTGTACTCTACTTCTATGTCAATCCACTGCTGTGAGGGAGCTACACGAATAGAATTTAAGAAGCTCCCAAAATGTGGAGGAAAATGTGAGCCCTGCCGAAATACGTGGTACAACCCGAAAACACGTAAGAGCTATACGGCACAACAGCAAAACATATACACAGTAGTAGTTCATTACAATGTCAAGTTAATTTATGTTCCATTGTGTTTCCCCATCGCGAATGCAGACAAGGAGTACCTGCTGATCGTCATCCAGAACCCGAGCGAGTGACATGGCTGTGTGATTTCTGTGTGCACATCACCCACCACGGGGTCGAGCTCCAGCAGAATCCAGTCCAGCTCTTCAGTCCAGAGTTCACCTCCAAATACTCTGTCTTGGGGTTTTACAACAACATATGCCTGTGTCATCCCTATGGTTGTGGTTAATTCCACTTATATAGCGTGTATTAAAAAATATTAATTTTATTTACAAGTTTTTCTTTTATTTTGTTGGGCACTAAATTTTTTGACAAAATACATTTATATATGTTCATTAAGAAAATGTTTTAAAACTGCACATGGTTCTGATCTAGAAATGAGTGAACATCAATAAATTGAGCGTGCAGGGTCAACTGAAAAAAAATGCAACAAAACCCTTTGTTTCAAAATGCTATTTGAAGGCAATCGTTGACTGATATTTTTTCATTAACTACTTGGCGTTTATTAAAGCTGGCTTTTACATCAGCATTAAACCTTTATTTGTGCCCAGAGTGATTGGTCTGAGTTGATCCTTAACCAACCTAATTGTAAGCTACGTTTTCTCCCACAGCATCACCCAACCGGCTACAGCTAATTTATTTCACACACTACTTTTGACTAACCACCTTCATATTAATGAAATGATTGATACTCTTACTACACTCCTCATACATAGTATGATTTAGTGCATAATGTGCCACTGTAAATCATCAAAACATCTTTCGAGCTGTTCCCAGTAACCATCTAATGTTCAATCATTGGTCCCAGTTTCCCCATTCGCTGAGTAATAACACTCTTTGGAATTATAAGGGTGGTATTCCGAATTGTGGGGTCTAAAAGAATCTACAGCCAGTGGCTGGCAATGACTTTTCTGCTTCTACTGTTGGTCTGCTCCCTGATTTTTCTTAAAACAGGTCTGACTTGGGCTGCTGTCTCTCATCTTCGGTTACATTGTATTTCAGGCTTTTACCTTGCACTGTTGGCATGTTAGATTTGCGTTACCAAAACTCGCAGTAATTCACTGAATGTCCTTATTTCTGTTTCATTGATGCTGTAATAAAAATGTCCGTCATAACGTGATTTTCTCTATTTTTATTCACTAAGTGAATCCTCACTTCAGCCTCAATTGTCAGAAAAACTAGCATTCATCGTTAGGTTGTACAAAAAAATTGTATATTTTGTAAAATTATTTCATCGTAGGTGGGTTTTGCATGGAGAGATGCATACTTGGAATTCTATTAAGGTGCAGTCAACATGGAATAGAGAACATGGAGGTTAACGACAAAGTAAGCAGACTTGGATAGGACATGTCGCAAGAATGGGTTATGGCAAATGATCAAGAATTGTGATGAGAGTGGCAGCCAACAAATGGAGAATGATCAAAACGACATGCGGTGCTTGGTGAATTGTTATATCGCATGTGCCATGAAATAATTGATTAAACCTTGCCGTACGGCCTTAGGGTTCGCTGCGTTATTGCCTCGTGGGTACCTGGTTAACTCAATACCCATTCCCACGTCACCGATTTATAGGAATCGAACTTCTCAAAAGTATGCAGGTTGGCAAAACTGACCACAACGCTATCCAAACAAACATCTGCCATTAGCTCCGTAGATTGCTTTACACCAAATATATGACATCATACATACCATTCATTGGTGAATAATCGTGTAAGAATCTATCAATATAAAATAATTACGATAAAATGTATATCCATATGGTAAGTTAGAACGATATAAATGACCTTTGTAAACTCATTGATCGTAAACAAAGTGGTTTCCAATAGTAACCAGCGAACAAATGACGTCATGCATTCAGAGCGTTGAATGTTTCTATTCGCTTGCAGCTCACAACATGGACAATTCGTTAAAATGTCGATTTATTTCTCAGAGCCACGTTGGGTCAGGCAAGGGAGTACGCTCGGTTGAAAGAAAATTCAACTGCACCCTAAGGGCCGTCCATAAATGACGTCACGGGGGGGGTCAGACATTTGTAACGAGGAAGGGGTGGGGTGAGAAATGTGACGTCACATCAAAATGCGCAACTTTGAATAAATATATAATTGTTATAACAACATTGTTATAACAAACTCCTACAACATCAGAGTGCAGCGCCACATTAAATACGCATTACAATGACAATAGTTTAAAGCGATTTGAAGCATGTTTTAATTTCAAAATGGAAATATGGTTTTGGGGGTGGGGGCAGAGCTTTGTGACGTCATATTTGAGGGGGGGGGTCTGACTTTTTGTGACGCCACGTGACGAGGGGGGGGGGTAAAAAAATCGTCCAAAATCGCGTGACGTCATTTATGGACGGCCCCTTATCAACAGGAGCACAAGTCAGTGGTCGGGGAATTCCCGTGCCCGCAAGCACTCCCAATATAAAGACTTTATTGTTGTTAAGGACTGAGCAATTTTCGCAACAACAACGAGAGGTCGTCATCCAGGAGTTGTTTTTAAAAATGACCGTACAAATATATATAAATATATAGTATCGTGATGCGTGTGTCTCTCCAGCCAAAAGTACGTGATAGGAAAATCTTGATTTGAAGCTTTCGTAACTGCAGGAATCCATACACATGGGTTCTTTCTTTAGGTAGAAATAATACAAAAGAAATCACGACGTTTCGATAGCAACACAAGCCATCGTCTTCAGGTGAAAGTCGTGATTTTCACCAAACGACCTACGAACAGTGGCGGCTCCTGCAAAATCTCTCAGGAGGGGGGCAAATGTCTGGATGATTGATAAGGATAAGGTCCACCCATGCAATGGATAAATTAACAGCTTAAGCATGTAAAGGCAACTTCACTTCTTTAATATTAATGAAAAATAAAGTGACTCTTACAATACATCTTGTTTGATTCTATACTCACTATTAATACAATCCACTCAAGTTTCTTTTCCTAAAGATTCCACTAGGTGGCGACAAATTATATTGTTTGATGAAATGTGCTTACGTATGGTGACGTAAGCACGTTAGTGCGAGCCCTCCCGGAAGCCATAGAGAATGCATTGCAGCGCCCCCCGTTCGAAAAAAAAACATCTTTGAATGTAAGTTTATGGGGCCACTCGGGGCGATTCTCAGCCGGAGTGAAATCGCCCAAAAAGAGGCGGTACTCCACAGAACGTGACATGACACTGATTGGACTATATCCAGAGGCACAGTGACGGCTAGCGTGACTCTGTGGTTGAATGACATTGGTGGTGCGTCGCACAATCGCCCTAATGAAGAAACCGCCCCTGCCTACGAATCACAATAATGAAAATGTTGTCCCACAATGTTATCTCGATGGTGCGATGGATTTCACGAGACATAATTGCCCAGTCGCATCTTTTGCACAGCATTCGTGTTCGATAAGGGCACGCAGAGGCGGATATCAGACGCCTTTGAGATTTATATTCAATACGAGTACTCGAAATTCCCGCAACTCAGAAGTCGCAAATATCATTATTCAGGACGGACACAATTATCTAGGGTTATGAGGATTAGGCATAATGCCATGTTTAATTGCAACGTGAAGTCACTGATTAGCACGGTTGGCTACTATTGTGATAAAAGAAGTTCAACATACATACATAGAAGGTATTTAGGTACAGTGGTACCTCGGTATGCGTCGTTAATTCGTTCCAGAAGGTAGGAAAATGACGTATACCCATAAGAAATAAAGGGAAAGGAAATAATCCGTTCCAGAGTATAAGAAATTATATTTTATATGGCATATTATACATTAATGGGGTTGTATAAATAACTTAGACACTACTTATTACTAAAATGCATACATAAATTAAAATAAATGCTTCAAGTTCCAGCAAGCGCGTCGTATCCTAAGCAAGACATCGTATCCCAAGACATTTTTTCTCGTTAAAACACGACGTATGCCAAATTCGACGTATTCCAAAGCGGTCGTATACCGAGATATGACTGTATTACCCAACTACGTTCGCACCTACCCACCAACCCAGCTACTGTCTCTCTACACACATATCTATCCAAATACCCATCCATCTTCCAACCTAAAAAGTTGACACCCACCTATCAATCCAATCACCTCGCTACCCACCTACCCATCCATCCATCTGCTGTTGTAGAAAGTATAAACCCACATACCTATCCACCAAACGACCTACAAATAACATAACATATCTACTAAGTTATCTATCCAATTACCTACCTACTCATCCACCCACGTACAAACCTACGTATCTAACGATATTCATTTGCGTCGTTGTTGAGCATATAAGTAACAAAACAGATACGCAGAGAATACACATATATTCACTTACCTGTCCCTCAAAAATAGTATGTTTTAGACATCATACACGGCCTTCTGGGAGTGCATCATTTCAGAAGCGTTTGTTAAACAATTTTTGGATTGAACCAAAGTTTGCTGAAATTGTGTGCTGCCTAAAAGGGTCTTTTGGCTGATGAGATGTGTAAAAAATACTTTTTTTATGTGAAGGATAGGTAACAGATATATGAAGGACACGTATTGTCTGCTTATCTATTTTGTGACTTACATTCTACACGAAGACACAAATTAATATTGTTAGGTCAGGAGGTTAGTAAGTAGGTAGGAATGTGATAGATAAATTAGTCGGTGGGAATGTTGGTGGGTAGGTTGGTGGGTAGGGAGGTAATTAGATTGGAAGGTGGATAGGTGGGTGGATAAGTAGGTCATTTGACAGATGAATAGGTAGGTGGGTTTTTAATTTCTCCGTAAACAAAATAATGTATAGGTAGGTGGTTTGGGGGGTAATTGTATTGCTCGGTGGGTGGGGAGGTGTGTGTTCTACTTTCTTCGTAGGTGGGTAGGTACGTGAGTAGGTAGGTGGGTGAGTAGGTAGGTGGGTGAGTAGGTAGGTGGGTTAGTAGGTAGGTGGGTGAGTAGGTAGGTGGGTTAGTAGGTAGGTGGGTGAGTAGGTGGGTGGGTTAGTAGGTAGGTGGGTGAGTAGGTAGGTGGGTAGGTAGGTGGGTGAGTGAGTAGATAGGTGGGTTAGTAGGTAGGTGGGTGAGTAGGTAGGTGGGTGAGTAGGTAGGTGGGTCGGTGAGTAGGTACGTAGGTGAGTAGGTAGGTGGGTCGCTAAGTAAGTAGGTGGGCAGGTAGGTGGGTAGGTGGGTTAGTAATTAGGTGAGTCGGTAGGTGGGTTAGTAGGTAGGTGAGTGAGTAGGTAGGTGAGTGAGTAGGTGGGTAGGTGAGTAGATAGGTGAGTGAGTAGGTAGGTGGGTAGGTGAGTAGATAGGTGAGTGAGTAGGTAGGTGGGTGAGTAGGTAGGTGAGTGAGTAGGTAGGTAGGTAGGTGAGTAGGTAGGTGAGTGGGTGGGTGGGCAAGAGACGTAGTTACCGAACCCATTGTTCCCTTACACCACCACACCGCACGACCGCATTCAAAAACCCCATCACGCCGTCCAGCGGTCGTCAAAGACACGGGGGGCCCGGGGCTGGGCACACGGAGGGGCCACGAGGCTGTGGCGATGACGTCATTGTTTGTCGCAGCATGAGGTCACTGCTCGTGCGTGCGTGTGTGTCAGTCGGAGTGTGTTCATTGTACATTGTACAGGGGGTGGGTTTCCTCTCTACAGCCACAAGCTTCGCTACAAGTGTCGCGTGAACGAGTTGCTTAGCAAAAGTGTCATTTTTATCTAATCCGTACGGCACAACATCGACAGCTTCGTAGCAGTGATGAGTCCCGAGAAGTCTTTCAAGCAACGGAGGACACTGGGTAAGCTGCTGCTGCTGCTGTTGTTGTTAAACCGTCTCCATTTCTTAACTCCTCAAGCGATGTTGTTGTTGTAAATGTCATTACTGCGTATTTTATACACATTGCTTAAAGCATCGTCGTCATTATATATAGAGACAAAGATCTGTTGTTTGTGACCTTGTATACTGTGCTGACCAGTGCTGTTAGCGAGCGCCTAGTAAGGACGGTCAACAACACGGCCCCCCGCCGCCTTTGTATCCAAAGCGGCGAGGTTATTTCCTCGTTTAAGGCTGAGTCGACCGAGAGGAGGCCCAGGGCAGGTTCAGATACAGTCGTGCTACGTTCTAGGTCGGTAATCGAACCCAGGTTCAACAATGGTTGTGTAGTGGAGTCCGATTAGTGTCACGAATAAGATACAAAAAAAATCGACTTTAGTGGCACGAATACACGGGGCGATGGTATGGATAGCACCTCGCCCACGTCCGCCTTTGTCTTCCCAACACAGGTACTGCTTTAAATGCTGAGTCGACTTAGGGGAGGCCCAGCTAGAACCGGGATAATACATTGGTCGCCACTGACAAATCCGTGTATGCCATCAATATCCACGTTTGTCGTGAGTTTTAAATGCATTCAGTGTATGCAGTACGGTATACATACAATTAACATCATATATACTGTATTATAAAATTACTTTGTTGACACCACACGTTCAACATTGTCCTTTAATAGTGGCGTGGACATGCTTTACATAACTGTGCAATGTTACACTGCTACGTGTTGGGCAGTAGTGCCAAAAAGTCGATTGTTGGCTGGTACTTCTATGTACCCCCCAATGCTCTGCCATAACTAACCCTCATCGATCAGTGTGGTGAAGTATGGTCAATCAACGAATCATTCGCCCACTGATTAAATCCACACTTACCCCTAATGAGGCCCATTGAAGCCCAAACAAAGTAGGACTCATCCTGAAAACAATTCACAGTACTTGAAAATCAATTTGAAACTCAAGACTGTCTTGGGTTAAACCAAAAAGCCATTTACTTTGTATTATAAACACACCACGGCGACCCATAACTTAACGTCACGTTTAAAATGATCGATGACCCTGCAACATTCAAGTTTTTATTGTTTTAACAGTCATGGACTTTGCCTGCCTGTTAAATCTCACGTCTCCAGCCTTCTGAATGCCCAACACAGTTAGTCACATGCATCAACATCACGATTAGCTGTAAAATCCCTCCTATCCTAACTAGTAATCAATCTTCCAAGTATCTGCGCCCTCGAATTGAACCACGGATCTAGCTACAGACATACTATCTGCGCTTTGATTCATCCTATTTTGGTGATTTCGAAATGTTTTTTTGGGTTTGGCTATATTTGTTTGTTGTAGTACGGAGTGAGAATGATGGCTTTAATCTAAGTTGTCTTGTGGTTGTTGTTGTTGTTTGACTTGCATCCCACTGGGATTTTTTGCACAGCGTTGGTGTACGGTGCTTTTTTCTGGAAGACTTTGCAGTTTTTTCCTGGATTTTTCTGTTTTGCACATAGTCACTTTAAGAAGTTTTTTGTTCATGTTTAGTTTTTTTGTTTGTTGCGGTTACACCCGATTCAAGAGCCGAATGGCTCACGGGGCTACACCTAATACATGAAACTGAAACTATTCGCGTTTCTGCGCCGATAAGGGGAGTAACTTGCTAGTGCCAGAGGACTCATCCTGAAATCCGCGTTTACCCGACAGATACGTTGTTGTTGCTTTGTTGGGCACACTTGGGTTTTAAATATACAATAATTTGTATTATTGAGATCTTGTAACATTCCCTGTAGTTAATTATCATGGCCATGTCGCCAAACAATGTCAGATGGTTCATGTTTCACCATTTAAATGTATGACTGTTTCTCCACTCTGTAGATTTTAGACAACGCATGTTAATAACTGTCGGAATAGCAATAATCTACACACCTGTAAATGGCTAAGTGTAAATACCATGGAATACATTTTTTATAATTAATATTGTAAAGATATTCTATTATAGATTTTAGTTCAGTTGTCCGGCACACTACTGTTGTGACCACACCCTAACGTGCACAGGTAGTAGGCCCAGGAGCCTCTTCCCAGCCCTCCCTGCTTGCCTAGATACCCCGGCCCAAAGAGACGATTCAAAATCGGTAGGGCGGTCAATGCAAGGTAGTGTGGCCTACATTAGCAGGGTGTATAAATATTCGAAATAAAACTTGGTATCAACATTTTCAAAATGTAATCGACCCAGCCCTTAATTTTACCGTGATCAATATAAATTATCTCCAGTACCCTGGCATTGTTATACAACGAGCACACACCTTGATTGCACGTCTGCCAAGACTGGTTTTATGCCAAACTTGGCAGATACATTTTTAAAGTTGTTATTAAAAAATAAACCCTGCTTTTCAAAATAAAAAAGTGGGCTCTACCTTGGGCTCCACCCTGGCAAATGAACAATCTTAGTCGCTTCTGTCTAAAAATATATATCTGGCAGGCTCTTCTCCTCAGCACCGATTCCCTGAGCAGAAGGCAGAACACACACTTGTTAAGGTTTCTCCAGTGTTACGAACTCCTTACAATGGAAAATCACCAAACAAACCTCAAAACATCTGCGGTTAACATTGTGTTGTATTAAATTAACTTTCGTAATCTGATGCAGGATCCTGAATACATACCCGGAATTGCACTGCAATAAAGCATGCGTTCTATTTTGTATATATATTTTGCATAATGTCCTAGTCAATACCATGCATTGACAAATTGTTGCCAGGAAAACTCAAAGGGTCATTAGATCTCGTGACAAAATTGCTACGTTGGCAATGCTGAGTTTCTCCCGCAGGCAGATAATACAGTGTACTATGTACTGTACCGTGTTGTATACTCTGTCTGAGTATCCCTGTATACTCTGATAAGATGCACATGTTGTGCTAGCAGGGTTGTATTGTGGCAGTGCTGTTTTTCAATCGGACAATCATGAGTTTAACTCGGAGTTTGTTCAGCCAATCCTCGCTTTTGGGGTGGATTGAATTGGAAGCCATTATTTTCCAGCTTTCCCGATGGATGAAGAGACTATAACGGGAGGAAATGAGCAATGCCTGGAGCTCGCTTGTGTAAATACACAATGACTAGTTAGACATGTAGCATACAATTTGTTGATTTTCATTGATTCATACACTTAAAGTATATATGCATCAATTCTTAAATTGTAAAAATTGTTGACTTAATTTTACAAATGCTATGAAAATGCTATTCTAATGTTGCATTTTGGGAGCGAAAATGAAGAATTGACCTATGGATAACAAGGCTGGACTGTTATCCCGTGCCAACCACATTGACGCGATTTGCAAGTTAAGTTTGACCCGGACAGTACGGATATTGGCATCATCTGTGTGGGGTGCCAGGAATTGATTTGTACTGAGATGTGGTGGTTTTGTGTTGAACTTTATTCAAGAAACACTTGCATTTTCGTCAACTTATGTTTGTGCATCGTTATCATTGATCTAGGTTTTATCTGAAATTGGTCTGTGGAAAAGGTAGCACCCCTCTTTCCACAGATGCTAAAATCTATATTTTGTATCCATGTTATTAATGGCTATACATTATTTGCTTGGACAATGTTTCTTACGTATGTTTATTATTTTCCACCATCAGCTTCAACACAGCTAAGAAGAGTTTCATTGTCCTTCGAAATCCTAAACTAACTCTGAAAATGTGTTTTTTAATTAATCTTGCAGTGGAGAGACAGAGAGATGTGGAGCAAATTCGGTCACAGCATCCCAACAAAATTCCAGTGAGTATCATTTTTACCAATTTGGGATACATTTGTATTCTGTATGTACGTTTTTAAAATGTATGTATTTCTGTCTATTTAGAAATCAGGAAGTGTTGACAAATGTGGTCACATAAGACGTAGAATTACACTTCACAGACTTTACACTTTGTTTATGATCTCCAGCATTCGATGGATGGACATATTTGAATGAGCATTACTTAGCGGAACAGATTATACCTAAACTCTACGTCATTTAGAATTCAAATTTAAAATTCAATTGACAAATTAACATATCTTTAATACAGAATTTGTGAGAACACAGCTGGGTGTTGGCTCTGTTGATAATTCATTATACTGCGCTACGAATCCTGCGACCTGAGTTTATTTCCAATCCACTGCTTAATCAGTGGCAATTATCTGAACCGGTCCCAGGCCTCCCTGTGTTCACTCATCCTTAAATAAATACCTTGTGCAGTGTGTAAACATCGGCACTGGGGAGACAAAGGTTGCCGACCGTGGTACAGGCTATATCACCTTTCCTGCCATACCAGTTTTCATAGGTGTTCGCTGAACAGGGCTTACCCCAGCACTTTTTACAGCTACACATAATCTTTATCTTTGTGGTTTGTGCGTGCAGGTGATAATAGAGAGGTACCGTGGAGAGAAGCAGCTGCCAATGCTGGACAAGACAAAATTCCTCGTCCCTGACCATGTGAACATCAGTGAGCTCGTCAAGATTCTCCGGTAGGTCCTTCAACAAGGGTAGTTCATTTCCAACATCATGATCATTATCACCATCACGGAGAAAGTAGTTTGGCCCAGAGCTGGCACGTCTATCTAACAACTTAAGAGGTGTACATGTAATAATACAAGTATAATTATAATGGTATTTATTTCTCTAGGCAAGCCTCACTGAGTCTCAGGTATTTTTCAGCAAGGTCCTGCATTGAAGGGATCTTGTAAGAAGTTCTGTAATATCCGCTAATAACACGAATGTTTGCACGGCACTGCAAATTATTCGAATGGATTTTTCTCAGGACAGTGAAAGCATAATTGGGATAACATTGTGGGAAAAAAGTTTATTTTAATGTTAAGAAGAGGAAGGTTCTGCATTGGGATGTTTGGCCAGTTTACATTTATAAGTGTTTGGTTTGTGTGGCAGGGAGCATCAAAGTAAAGTAGCAGTTTACTGCCCACCACATAACCTCGCAGACCCTATGATAACACTGTGTAACAAATTTGTGTTTATTTTTTGTTCCTGGGCAGTAAGTGTTATTTCTTAATTGCTTATGCCTCAAAAGTACAGAAAATAGAGATTATTCCCCACAAACTTTGCTTTTGTGACCAGGACAGTGATATTTGGAAATGTACCTATTTTCAATGAGAAAACGGGTGAATTTGTATATTTTAGTTCACATAAAGTCAGAGAAAAACAACATATGAATGAAAATTTACAAGATTTATAAGTGAGTAGTTTTTCGAGATTGTTCCTCTCCACAGAGAACTTGGTCCGCTGTGACCACTCCAGCCTGTGGTAGTGCGCTTTTGTGTCTAAATCTTTTACTACTTAGGAACAAAAATTGTGTTACATCGTGTAATTTGTGCAAGGTGGTCACCCATCCAAGTGTGAGACTCAAGCCTGCTTAGTTTAAAAAAATCTAACAAGCTCTGGCACATTTCTGGTGATTTGGCCATAAGCCACAGGACTCTAATACAATTCAATTAAAAGCCAAAGCCCATATCAGTGTTGGCCGTCCTCATTTTGTCAGCAGTCCTGATGTAAATTCCCCATTCCCATGGTGGAGGAAAGTTTATATATAGGACAGCCACGGTTATGTGTTCAAATGCTGGCTGGGCCAAAATACGATGTCAGATGTCTCATATGTCGTAGCCAGCTGTGTTGGCTTTTACAGTCTGACTTAATGTCTAGCGAAGTGGAAATCGAAGCCTTGTAAAATATTTATCATCAACCTCTAACCCTCATATGGTAAGCTTGGCCTGCAAGAGCTGATCATTTTACTCTGTGTGCAACGCTGTGCCTGAGTGTTCCCTTAAAGGCGTCAACCCAGATCAATATCATGCCATCTGTGCAGTACTACAAAATCCATGCTCTGAATGTGGCTCATCAAACTGACTAAGACAGTCCAATAAGCGAGCCTCAGCCTGGTGTGTAAAATACGGTACTGTACAAACAAGATGCTCAGCCTGGTGTGTAAAATACGGTACTGTACAAACAAGATGCTCATTAATGGCATTGGATAAACATGTTAAGGTAGGATGCTGCTGGAACTGAGTCAGACTCTGAGGCTCTCCTGAGTATGTAGCATATTGTTATCATTGTGAAGGTCCATATTATCATCAGCAATGTTATTATCAATATTATATTTTATCATCTGCAGATTTACTATCGTCACTGTGAAAGAAAAACATTTGTTTTCACAATATGAAAGTTTTTCTGCATAAACAAAGGGAAATATGTTCGGTAGTTTTTTTTAATTCAACATTAGCTTTACTACCCGGCTTCGCCCGAGACTTGGATTCTTGTCTTGGATTAATACACGGCCTACGCGGAGGGTGGGGGGGGGGGATGCGTGACGTCAGCAGGCACACTGCGTGACGCTGCCGCATGCGGGTGACATCACAGATGTGACGTCACCGCTCACTTGCCGTGCAAAATATATCCATTATTGCGCCCCCCCCCCACCCCCCTCAAAATACAAAAATCTATTTTTATACTTTTTGCATTGTATACAGTCTGGAAGCTACCCACATGCCAAATTTAAAGTTTGTTGCATGTTGGGAAGTACGCTAAACATTTTGAACAGACACACATATTCACAAATTTCCCTTTTATATATAGAGAGATAACAGCTGTTGTGGTTTTTTATCAGCTTGGAAATGTATATGTTTTGTTTGTTAATTTATTAATAACATGTTGTGTCCCATTGCACATCATATTTGTCTGTAACAAAATGACGATGAGTGTGCTCGATCTTATCAGATCGCATACGCTAAGCAGGGTTGAGCCTGGATAGTGCTTGGATGCATTACCACCATGCACGTCAGATTGTCATAGGCGGCTGTGGGGCTTCATGGTGTTCAGCAAGGTCTTTTATGCTCCCTGGCTTCACCAACTCATACTGAGCAGCATAAGTGTGGTCACATCACCCCCAAGTCCCGCATGGCGTAGGAATCCATTTGTCCATCAATGCGTTGACAAAGGGCTGTAAATATATTTACCTGAAACTACGATTACCGATACAAATAATTGCATTGATTGCATTTCTGATATTATCATGCATATTCGTATCACTATTCTTGGTGGTACTGGTATCAGATGTAATATCTGCAGCCACTGGCGGAGCCAGTGGGGGGTGGGGGGGGGTGGCACGTGCCCCCCCAATGATCTGATCGAAATCCCTAATTTCGATCGGATCATTGGGGTTTATTGGTAATAAATCGGCATTTTGCGACCCCTACTGCCACTGTGTAGCATATTATTAAGTGCCAGGGACTCTATGAGATGATAGGACAATAGTCTGAGTCCATAATTGGCAATAAGTAACGGCAAAGCAGTTATAAGTGACTCACAGAATTGTGCGCAGTTGCGTATACAGTACATGACTTCCCTGAAGGCATTCACCTTCAGTGAGCGTGATGCCGATCACACACGGTTCGAATTCGACCCTCGATCGATGGCTGCGCCATCGCCACACACGCGTCAAATAAAAAGCAAGGGACAAGTCCTTACTTATTAACAACTCTTATCATTTTTCATTGCTGGAGGGGTTGCCCCCCCCCCACCTGAAAATCCTGGCTCTGCCATTGTCTGCAACTATCGTCCACCTTTGTTTCAGAGTGAAGCTGTGTTAGCAAAATAATGCCGATTATGTTTTATCCAGGAAGGCCTCACTGCTTCTCAAGACTTTTGTTTATGAGGGTCCTGCTACATTGACATTTTGGCCAGTACCACTAATGAGTGTCATGGCGGAGGAAACTGGAGTACTGGAGAAAAACTACCCTGCAGAGGGATAGCACTTAAAGCTCTAAAAATAAAGATTCATTAATCAAATTCTGTATTTCCTTATACTGGCCACCTCACATCCTAAGCCTATTACGCCTGGTATTTCCAGATAGTCTCCCATTCACTTACTAACTAGGCTCGTGGCTACTTAACATTAGGGATCCAATGAAGTTGTGTGCGTGTCGGATGAGTGTGTCGATGAAATGATAAGAGCATATCTAGTTCCGTGTGTGTGTATGTGCGTGTCTGTGTGTATCTGTACATGTGTAGGCGCTGTCTACACAGCAGTTTGCGTGCTAAGCTACGAACCCGACCACCCAAGTTCGATTCCCATTCACAGCCAACACCAGTGACGATTATTTGAACAGGTCCTGGGCCTCCCCTATGTCGACTCAGCCTCAAATGAGTACCTGTTGCGGTGTGTTAATATCTTCGCTTGGGAGACAAAGGCAGCTGGGCTTGGTGTTGGCCACCCACTCTCTTGTGTGCCGTGCCAGCCTTCACGTGTGCTCGCTAACAGCACTTTCCCCAACAGTCTGTTAATGCTATATGGGGGATCTTTGTCTTTGTAGGCGCCGTCTGCAGCTCAGCCCGAACCAGGCCTTCTTCCTGCTGGTGAATCAGCGCTCCATGGTGAGCGTGGCTGTGCCCATATCCCAGGTTTACGAGCAGGAGAAGGATGAGGACGGCTTCCTCTACATGGTCTACGCCTCTCAGGAGACATTCGGCAGTGTCTAACACTCACTCGCCCAGCACCCCCCCACCCCACCAAATAACACCACACCCCTCGCGGCCGTCGGACACTCACAATCATCACCGCCACCACCACCACTGCCAGCACGCACTCTCAGTTCCACTCTGATGCTGTCGTACATGGGCAGAGCTGTGTAGAGTAGAGTTGCCATCTGTGTGGAAATCGAATGTTGTAGAATAGGGTTATCTTTTGTCTAGATTTTACCTTTAATAATAAGGAACCTGATCGTTATAAAATAGTGACACCATCTATCTCTGTTTTAGCCGAACATGTGTACATGTTGTAGAAATGTAAACATCTCGTATAATATGATACCAATAGTATTTCCAAGGTTTCTAGTCCGGGCAGTGGCATCATAACCATTTTACCTTTTTTGCGCATTGCACTTCTCCGGTACTTATTTACTACCCCAGCCCTTGGCTGTTATGAGGGCCGTAGAAAGAGAGGGAGACAGGTGGATACAGTTTGCCTGGAGCCTCAGATCCGAGGTGATCTCAGAATGACAGAGGGAGGGGGACTTAATGACATTTTGCCCTATGCCTCCAAGAACACTCTGGTAGCCTTGTCCATTATCCAGTTCTGGCAAAACAATTTAAGAACCTTACTGGATCCTCATTGTGCCCAGTCCCATCCCCACAAAGTTGCGTGATCTCACCCCTCCCGTCATCTACGCTCTCTCACCATGCTCTTCTCCCTACCCCCAGGGAGCACGTTTGCTGGGTAGAAATTTTGATGAGGAGGGGTTAGGATGGGGTGGTGGTGGGAAGTTGGTATACACGATACTGTACTATAGTTGGGAAAACAACTTTAAGCAACGTTTAATGGGAAAGTAAGTTAGGTAAAATTAAGTTACGCAAAAAAATTCTGCATTGTGTATTATTTTAGGTCGTGGTGTTATATATATATGAACACGGTTTAATGGTTGGGACAGGTGTTGCTGGAACAGTCTGTGCAGTCCGAGTTGTGGTGTTTCCATGATGTGACTACTGTCTCCAGGTTTAACCTGGGGGTCCGGACCCTCGCACACTTACTCTTGTTTCACTGGCACATCCGAGTCACGCCAGAGCGGGGTTCCCATGATGCAAGTGGTTTTCCGCTGGCTGTTTGCTGTGTCGAAGCGGAAGCAAACTGTCATACGCTGGCCATACAAAACATCTGAATCTGAGTCGGGGCCAAGCAGGGCCAGGGATCGGGTCAATCATATTCATCCTCGCGACTCGTTCACTGCGTTTTAGCTCCTGCAGTGGGAAAACAACAACCTCGCCCCTCGTGAGCCAAGCTGGGTTGACTCGGCACGATGTGAACGTGCGGTGGAATTTCGAAGCATTACGATCCCACAACCCTTGTGTGGCACCAGGCAGGAGTTTAACTCGGTTTACAAATGCATAATAAACGTTTTTGGGTTAGATCGCGTTATTTATAAATGTGTCGTAACCGTCCATCACCCGACACGGCCAATCAGCAAAAAAGTGTCACGTTGACAAAAGACAAATAGTTCACTACTTTAGCCCACCGGTGTGTTGAAGCGTGAAACCACAACATTTAAATTTTTTGAGTACGACGTTTCGTTGGTAATTGCATCCAGCATCATCGGGCAATTCGCCAGAATGGTGAGGCTCTGCTGTTGCTCCCTGTCTGAAATAGAGCAGCAGCAGGGTGCCGTCATCATTTAACTCATCAGTTAAATCGTTTTACAAAGCAAGCTTTTCCGAATGCCTGGATTGAGCAGATTGACTCGCTGAGACGCTTTAACAAGCCAGCTGTGATGCTGCTGAATGGAAGTTGTAGTCCTAGATTTTATGTGGATATTAAAATGAAGTTTCACTGATATCGGGCCCAATTACCGACAACTTCTGTTATCCACGCCACCAATCAATCTAGTTATTGGAATTATTCCCGTAATAATTTCCATAGATAAAGTCACCAAACTTCATATCATCTGGAGACATATAATCCACGCATTTACAGATGAGTAATTTAGAAGTGTTGGCAAGTTCATCGTATTCACGTTTATCTCTAGATAAATTGACAGATTACATGAGTAATTTGCACAGATAAAAGGATCTGCCAAATAGTGCACCACACATCACGGATAAGAGGAATTTGAATGCTTCTCATACCAGTCAAGTTTGCACTTTTCTGCATGACTAGAATAATGCTCGGCAACATTACGGTACATTTTGCATAAGTTAAGTTTTGGTGTTTCAAATAAGCTTTGCCTAGCTAAGGTTCAGCTTGCTGATAAAATGGAATTTCACTTTGTTGTAAATCTAATAGCTTAGTTATTCACAAATTCAGCCAATGGAGAGGAGTGACAACTCTTGGCTCCAGGTTGAGGAGGTCACAAAATCCATCTCGGGGGTTTTCCCCGATCTCGGGTGATAATGTGTGCAGGTGAACTCATTGATGACTGGACCAACAAAGGCAGTGTGTGGTGATAATGATAATTCTGATGAAAATAACAAAATAGGCTTTACCCTTTCCAGCAAGAATACAGGAGGTGTAAAGGTGTTTAAACACCAAATAGGCACCTATCACAATGCATCTAGTCTGCATTAACCACACATGCTTGTTGCTAAACATGCAAAAAAACATTATTTGGTAATGTATCCTGTATCGTTGAAACTGATTGACCTGCATTGAAGATGGCTTTCTTTATGGCATTGTCTCAACAAAGAACGCCAAAAGACGAACAGCACAAAGACAATGCAAATAGCAAAGCATTAATAGCTCAGGTCGAGCAGTTATATCTAGGCCTCGGCAAGGCAAGGTAAAAGTGTAAAAACAACGAGCCTACCTTTACCCTACCTTTTACCTTACCACAATACAATCACTCTACCCCTACCTTTTACCCGTTAGCAGGTAAGGTAAAAGGTAAAAAGCAACGAGCCTACCTTTTACCCTACCCTTTACCTTACCTCTTGGCATGTCGACACCTTTACCTTTACCCTTTTACCCGGTAAAAAGGGTACAATTACCTTACCTTGCTGAGGCCTAGTTATATCTATGGAACCCCTTTTTGACAGTCTAATCTTGATACTTTTGTCATCATCTTGATACTGGAAACAAGGGTCCCATAGACCAGTGGTTCCAAACTTGACCGAGTATGCGAACCCCTTTTCAACCAATTTGCGGACCACTGCATGCATCTAGTTGTTTGAAATTGTACATTTCCTTGGCAAGGATCTTATTTGTATTTTCTGCGGACCCCTTGTAGTAGCCTCGTGGACCACCAGGGGTCTGCGGACCGCAGGTTGGAAACCTATGCCATATATAAATGATGATGATGATGCTGCTACTGCACCAGTGCTGGGCCCACCAGACCACCACGTGGACTGCGAGTGGTGGTCAAGAGAGTGCCGATGATGAAGCCACCGCCAACACATTTCAGTTTCTCAATCCCCATCTGCGTGCGTTATCATCCAAGGCTGGAAAATCCGGGGTGGACTTTTGTTGCCTGCTCAATTTTGAATCTACATTCACTAGTGGAGCCGGCGGGGGGGTGGGTGGCACGTGCTCCCCCAATGATCCGATCTAAATCCCTAATTTCGATCGGATCATTGGGGTTTATGAGTAATAAATCGGCATTTTGCGACCCCCACTGCCATTGTGTTGCATGTTATTACGTGCCAGGGACTCTATGAGATGATAGGACAATAGTCTGAGTCCATAATTGGCAATAAGTAACGGCAAAGCAGTTATAAGTGGCTCACAGAATTGTGCGCAGTTGAGTATACAGTACACGACTTCCCTGAAGGCATTCACCTTCAGCGAGCGCGATGCCGATCACACACGGTTTGAATTCGACCCTCGATCGATGGCTGCGCCATCGCCGCACACGCGTTAAATAAAAAGCAAGGGACAAGTCCTTACTAACAACTCCTATCATTTTTCATTGCTGGAGGGGTTGTCCCCTACCTGAAAATCCTGGCTCTGCCATTGACTACATCGCCACTGGAAAGGAGCTGGACAGTCTAAAATGTACGAGAATTAAATGTATGAATGCTTACACTTGGAAGAACAATTTTAGAAGATTAATCAAAGTTGCAGTGCTTATCATTTTAACTAAACCTGAGCATCACGTCGTAGAATTAGTAGGTAAAGGAGATGGTTTGATAATATAACTGCCTGCTTGGATCGCAAGCTATATAGTTGTTTCAGTCCAGGAGAATATTAATCTGACTGCGTAAAGTTTTGTATCTGTCTCCGATGTGTTTTGGTTTGTACTGCGTGTTCGGCAACGTTTCGATCCATATACTGCGAGCTTCTTCAGGATATGAATCTTAGATCCGAATCCTGAAGAAGCTTCCAGAAAGTAGAGTGAAACGTTGGACAAAATGCCGGACAACCTGAAAGCACATTTGAGGGATCATTAACCTACTGCACAATAAGTATAGGCCAAAATAGTGTCCGATAACACACACATAATACACAGATTCATTGCCAAAGAATAAACTAACCTTTTAGTCCATCAGCTTTTGAGCCTTTTGGAGAAATCTTTTCCAACTAAATTTGTTAAAACAGAAAAACGTGCACTTGTTTTTATTTCTCAGAGCTTAGATTTTCAGCAGGGTGTAGCTTATTAAGCAAATGCCATTGGGCTGCCTGATGACATTGGCAAGAGCCCTCCCTGATCACCATGGGGCCCATTCAGCACCCATACATCAAAACTGTATAAAACAGATCTGTTCCAAATAATTGCTATAAAACCCATATTCCTCCAAAATAGCACATCGTAACTTGGTACAAATCACACGGTCAGACGTTGACACAATTACACTCCAAGGCATCGTGGTGAAAACTGGCAAACGTGTAAATGCATGTTCCGCATACCCAGTGACATTTTAAACGCTGGTTGGCTGCAGTGAACTTGCAGGCTAACAAAAGGTTATTGCAATGTTGAGTGGGATTTTTGCATGGTGCCCTGCAGCTTGTTGCACATAACAGTGTGCAGCTGTGTTCACGGTTTATTTTTCACATGGCGATCGTGCAGCCACTAAGCATACCGTACTTTTACTCGCTTTGTGTCAGTCCACTGCTCAATGAGGGTCTCCCCACACCTGTGGGGAAGGCTGGTCAGTGCGAGTTAATGAAGGACCGGAGCCAGGATGTGGGAGCCTAGAATGATATCAGCCCTTGCTGCCAACCGTGTAACCCCCAGCCCATACAACAACAACAACAACCTCTTGGGCTTGACGGTCACCCATCCAGATTCTATCACGAGTCAACCCCTGATGGGATCGGGTGCATTCTCTCTGTGATTTGGTCATGGGTAATATGTGGGAACGTTTAGGTTGTTGAATTTACTACACCCACACTAACTTCGATTTATAGGACACTGTATGCGTTTCCAATTTCACCTTTAACTATTCAGCAAATGTGTAAAAATATACCCCAAAAATATTTTAGTTATGTATTTCCTTTTCCTATTTGTTTGTTAGTCGAATAATTAATATATACTGTATACTGTAGTTCTCAAGTTGTGTGCAGGCTTGATATGTTTACATTGGGTTGTCACCCTTGAGGTGAACACAATCTGGACTCTATGGGTGATCGGTGTTGTACAGTCGCACTGCAAACATCACATATTTGCTTGAGGACAGTGACATCAAATAAGGCAAGATATGTTAAAGAGTCCGAAAGTTATAAACATTCTTGCACACGCATGGATTATGTAATGCTTTCCAAACGTGCATGTCTTTGGAAGTATTTAATTAGCGGTATGGAAGCTGATGGGCAGTCGTCGGGCTAAACTCGTTTGAATGTTTGCAAATGCTGTTGGTTTCTTTGCATCTGATTTGTGTCAATGTTTTGGGATGAAAAAAAACATCCATTTGATCAATGTGGCCAGTTTTCAATTGGGTGAGTCCCTGATTGCAACACGACTTTATACTCCAGTGCGGTTTATACAGGGTGTTTTAAAAACATGGACCCGATTTGAAATCGCTATATCTCTGCAACCACGAACCACCCATGAATTAAACTCTTACCACTTGAAAGGGCGGGGCATAGAGTTTTAAATGATTACCGCTAGCTGCCTCTCCCAGCGCACAAACAGCCCCTAGCCTCAATCATTCGCAAGACGGTCACCCCGCAACACAAGGCGTTTTGCGTTCTGCAGTTCAGCAAGACTGAATCCGTAATTGCGATGCAGCGTGCGTTTCAACGGCGTTTTGGCATTGATCCACCAATGTCAAAGAGCATTTGTTGTTGGTACCAACAATTTGAGGAAACCGGCTGTTGATGTAAGGGGAAGAGCACAGGGCGACCACGCACCTCAGAGGAAAACGTGAGAAGAGAGGCGTTTAGGACGAATTCAACTATCGTCTCGATGTTGTCCGTACAGCAGGTGGAGGGTACATAGAGCATTTTTAAAATGGTTAGTAAAACTTGATAACTCATTAAACCGTTTGTAATTTTTTTGTGTAATTGTAACATGTTGCCATCGTGAAATATACTGCTTTGAAATTGGGTCAATCTTTTTGAAACATCCTGTATATTGGATCATCTTTACGATAGTTGTACTGCTCCCGTCCGGTTATGGATGGATGGACGGACGGCGATTGCATAATTATTCATGGTCCAAGCTTAATTGAAACGCATTAAAAAGAGAAAAGTGTTGAGCAGACCCAGCTGAAATATGTTTCTGGCCATACTAATTATGTATGGGTGGCAACCCTATGTGGCCTCGTGAGAGAACGAGTTGGAACGTTTTAGATAAATGACATTGGTTGGTTGACCTTGGACTTTCGAGCGATGCAACTGTGAGAACGAGTGACAATTTTACTTGCAAAATTTGTGGTGAAAATTTGTCATCAAAGTGTTTTATTGTGGCAAGCGATTGCAACGAGTGGAGGACGGACATCATCAAACGTGTTGGTGACTACGACTACCACCAAAGACCAACTCATGACCATGACGAGACGAAATTAACTTTGCTTGAATGACGACGCAGACGAAAATTATTTATTAATGAAGACAAAGCATGGTAATTAGATATACAGGTTTCCCTCTCTGTATGCGGGTTAGATTTGTGCGATTTGGCGGATAGGTGGCTGACCTGTTTCTACCCAAAATTCGCTGTACAGTATACGGTTTGAATCCAATCACATGCGGTTACGCGGTCGAACATTGGACAATGTTTGTGCGTAGTATATGCGCAACTCGGCAGGCAGCTATCAAATGCGGTTTTGCTTTGTGCGCCCATTTTGGAATGCATCTCCTGCATAAAGCGAGAGAACCATGTATATGTGTCGATTATTTTACCAAGTTCACTGATTGACTCACCTGATAATATTAGGGGTAAAATGATGCAGTACTGACATCAATCTTTATTAAATAACTGCACCAAATGTTTGACTGCTTTAGTCCGCGAATCGGGCGTGGAGTCGTTATGTTCCATTGTTCTGTTCTGGGTGACCACAGTCGCGATGTTTCCATTCGTGCATCAAGACTCATCTTGCTGTGGGCTGTGTGGATGCGGTTTTGGGGTTGGTTGCCGCCCGCAAGCTGCTTCCGCACAAACCATGGCAGATGTGCACACTCGCTGCTCCAATGGAAAATTAAGGGAATTACTGGATTAAATCCACAGACTAAGACTTCAAAATGTCATGTCATCGACTAGACTAAAATAAAACATGCCGATTACATTAATACTGTCCTGATAGGAACACGTGGAGTTTGATGAACTCCGAAGATTACAACAAAGCTGATTTCACCCCATGTTATGCATAGCGTGGTGTTACACTCGTAAGCAATGCGTAGCAAAGCGCTGCTACCCAGTCTCATACTCACACGTCGTGTCAAAATGTCTCGGATGATGTGTTGCAAGACAAGGTGTGAACGTGTGGATTATTTCGTTTTTGAGAGAAATTCGCTTGTGACTACAAAATAAATACGCTCGGTTTTTGTTTTGCCAAAAACATTCTCGTGGTTTTTTTTTGTCTTGTAACTTCAAGAGAACATTCATGTTATCCCTCAGTACTCTTGTGGTATGGTAAATAGAGCAACTGCCTCGTTAATGGTTTTTGTTGCTAATGTAGAAATTACACAATGACATCACGTGTGCAGTGCGGTCCCTAAACCAGGGGTCGGCAATTCGCTGCTCCGCATCTGCAAGCGGCTCTGTAGAGACTGCTTCGTGGCATTATTCACTTGCATTGCTGCTCTTGAAAGAGATTTTTTTTTTGTACAGAATTCGAAACAATGGCTCTTTTTATTTTGGTTGACGGCCCCTGCCCTATACCACGACATCACCACGACATCACAATCTCGCAGTGGCTAATTCAATCATACAAATAAGGAAAACTGTAAAGTTTTGGATATGTTAATAAGTAAATTCTCAAAAATGTGAAAACAATTATTTAATAACCAGAACATGCATATAACCCACCAATCCCTGGTGCTGTAGTGGATAGCATGGCTGCCTCTGAAGCTGGTGACCCGGGTTTCAAATTCCAGACTTTTTTTTCCAATTTACAAATCACAACGATGTCACTGCTCCTTTACTATATGTGCGCAGTGCAATCACCACACTATGTGAATTCCATTATATCTGTATTAGGACACGGTGGCTCATAAGCAATGAGAGCCAATCTCGGAGTGCAGAGATGCAAGATTTGAATCCTCCGCCAGAGACAAATATACGGGACAAGGCGCAAGACAGACTGGAAATGCCGAGACTTGGACCAGATGTGAAAGAGACGGGATGTGTTGTTCGAAAGGAGACAGTGTGGAAGTTGGTTATGTAGCAAGTGTGCGCAGGAGGAGATGGCACCACTCACAAGGAGTGGAGGAAACTCAGAGACTTGGGCCATATGTGAAGGAGACTAGAAGAGAGGAAATAAGTGAATCTCTGCTTTTTTAATAAAGGTGTGGCCACTAAGGGGCGCTCTTCTACCACTAGGGAGCGCTGTTATTGAATAAGCAATATTTTTGGGGGGAAATAAACAAGCTTAAAACAGGGTTTTCAACAGATTTAAGCTGTAAGCCAAAGTTTTACGTAAAATCGCAGTGAAATCTGCCAGTAAAACAAAAAGTTATGCTAAAATGGTATTACAGTAAATTTCTATCACCAAGGTGACTCCGGGTTTCCTGGAATGTGGCATTAGAATGCTGTCCGTGACAAAACATTTTTTTACAACAATATGACCAACAACACAATTAATCTAAAATAAATAACGTGAGATATTACTAAATGAATCGTATTTAACCGCTTAAATATTTAAAACTAATAAAACAGCAACCAGTCAAGTATAGTTAAATAACCCCCATAACCACACGCAGACTGGAAAGGCCGTCGTCCAGCAATGAATAAAAAAAATGGCTGTATATGTACAAAGAGCAAGCAGTAAAAGGGTTCAAACGGAGTGAAACATTAACAAACGAAAGATATCCATTTGTGCAATGTGTTAAACCCATTAAGACCTACTGCTAACGTTTTTACTGCAAAATTAATTCGAAAAATATAACGTGAGCAAAAAATACATGGCGTCTAACAGGCAACACGTGACTTTAATTGTGAAACCCCAGGGAGTAGCAGATGCAGGATATTCGTTTTACGGGAGAAATGGAATATGATTATTTTCATCTGCAGTGGGACTTTGTTCCAGTGTAGGGGAGCAAGCTGGGGAAAGGAGTGAGACTGGGCGCAGGGCGAGGGAGGCACAGAGAGGGACAGGTGGAGACTGGGAGCGGAGAGGATTGGATAGGACAGAGTAGTAGGAGATGAGAGAAGCCATAAAAGCTGGGGCAAGAGACCATGGATTGATTTATAGACGAGAGTGAGAAATGTAAACAGACAGCGATGGCAGACAGGAAGCCAGTGGAGTTGAGCAAGTTGAGCAGAAGTGTGGGAATTGTGGGGGAGGTTCAAAATGATCCGGGCTGAGGCATGTTGTATCTGTTGTTGGAAAGGAGTTAAGGTGTAGGCAGGAAGGCCGAGAAGAAGGTTGCAGTAGTCTAGGCGGGTGAACACGAGGGAGTGAATCGGGAGTTTAACAGCAGAGAGTGAGATGAAGGGATGGATTTTCAAATATGTTGAATAGGTGACAGCGGCGAGTGCGGGCAGTGGCAGAGCTGTGGTTGGAGAGAGAGGAGTTGAAGATGACCCAGAGGTTGCGAGGCAGAGGAGACGGCAGAAGACGGAGAGCTCTGCATGCAGTTGTGAGCTACACGTCGGAGGCCCGTAGGACTGCGAGAACGGCTGGGTGCAGACGCAACACTTGTAGTAAAACAAAATTATAGTAATATTATAAATATTACATAGAAAACATAGGGGAACATAGACATGGAGTAGGGAGAGAGGGGGTAGAGAGAGAGGGCGGGGTAGAGAGAGGGGGAAGGGGTAAGGAGAGCAGAGCGTGAAATCTATTGTTGCAATCTTTCATTTAAAAACGGGGGGTTACATAATGCAAAGCATAACAAAAACAAAAAAACTAAATGATGAACGAAGCAAAGTGCCGACTACACCGAGCATCTTCTTGTTTCCTCTGATCGTAAAAAAAGGAGACAGGAGTGAGGAAGAAGGGAGGGAATGAGATGGTCGGACTGGTTGGTGGGAGTGTTGCCCTCGAGCGGCATGGGACACGCAAGCACCTGAGTTGAGAGCGAGTGGTTGGATCCCTGAACTTGGCGCCCAGTGTCACACCGGCTGTGTCGATCAACCTTGACAGCCGTGGGCCGCTTGACTGCAGGGAAAAAAAAAACAAACCCTGGCCGTCGTCAGCCAGGTCACATGAGTGGTCGTTGCCCTGGACTGGCTTTCATACAATATTCGCTCGCTCGCGACAAGCGGGGAAATCGCCACAGCGTGTGGGGCTGCGTGGCTGTCAACGGGGAGGTTGAAGACCCTGGGAACATCGGCATTGACGAATTCGGAGTCCGAAAACAGACAGGGACGGTGATGTGAGTTTTCCCAGGCAGCATTCCCCGCCGCCACCGCTGCTGCTGCCACCACCATCCTAGAAGACCGCTGGCAGAATAGTGGAACAACGCGGATGGACCAGCATCAACGGCCTCATTCGAGACCCAATCATCGCAACTCCTGGCTTTGACATTTCTCCTCCGAAGACACTGGAGCGGATGTGTGGTACAGTATTATACCGATGTGAAGCCTACTCATTGGCGTTTTGTTCCATACCAGTTTCTGTGTTCGCTGACCACTCCTTTCACTGGTTATTGGCTCACCTGCTACATTTGCACATTTAATGTGGCTCCGCTTTACTCCGACTTCATTGCCTTTTCAGCGTAATTTACCTTCTGTACTTTCCCTGTCCCTCTCTTAATGTTGCACCAGATTTTCCCTCTTCTCCACCATACTCCTCACTCCATTGTACCCCCTCCTCTCACGGAATAATGTGATCTTTTACATAACTCCTCGCCATTACCATATCTCCTGGTTTCCAAATAGTACTATATTCTTAAGATCTCACGTCCCTTACTTGTATGTTGAACTTATTTTGCGCCGTACGTAGACAGCCATGCTAATCGGAGGTACTAAAAAATGACAACGAACTAAATTAAAAAAAGCAGCGCATAAAGCAAGGTAACAATCGTTGCCACCCCAGTTTATTTTTGTACTCCAACTTAACCAGCGCAGCAGCAATGGATTGTGTGCGTTACAAAATTGGCTGGTCACTCTGTGACTTCAAGAGTCTGTTTTCCAGCTCTTAGGATTTCCCAATCAAATACAATGTATATTTATTGAGCGCCTTCACTCGAGGTTCTTGACATGGCTTACTAAAACGGTGACACAGAATGGATTGATGTAGGTTGACAGGGGCAGTGCTACAAGGATTGAGGAGTAAATGACAGCGATAGAAGGAGTTCTTCGGGATCACGAAAGTTCGATAGAGGAGGAACAGGAAGGCGTGGAAGGGGCAAGAGGAGGAACGAGGATGGGCGATATGAAATGAGGTGGGCTTTAAAAGCGAAACGGGTACTGCTTTTAAATTTTGACTTAAAACTTTCGTGACTGCATGAATTCATATTCTATGTTCTTTCGGTAAATTCACGTAGATAGAAATTTTTTAATAAAAATAAAGTGAATACAAATATCACGACGTTTCGATCGCAACACAAGCGGTCGCGATGACGACCGCTTTATTTTTATGATAAAATTTTCTATCTACGTGACTTTACCGAAAGACCCAAAGAATATGGTACTGCTTTTTTTATTGTGCGTTCTTAAATATACGTAAACGTTTGTCGTCGTAGCGATAATTCAAGAACAACCTAAGTCTGTGCTCTCCAATTGGCTGCATGAACAGTTGTGGCCCTGTGTCCTTGCCCCGTCATGGCCCAGCCCGACTCAATTACTCAACATATACACATCCGCTGGTCATATTGGCATAATATATAAACACAAAAATAAATGGCATCACAAGCTCCGTGGAAATACCGCGGTTTTTGGATCGCCCCAGCCCCTGCATTCGCCCGGTATTTTGAAGACACTGTGAGGAAAGACATGACCGAAATGACCGGTGTGCTGATGTATGTGTAACGGGTTCCGGAGACACTTGTAGAGGTAACTTCTTTATTCCTATCCAACACTCCAACAGTCCAACAGTCCAGTACAGTCCTGGTCTTGAGTCTTGGGTCTTGAGCTACAACTGGCCCTGATCGTCCAGGGAGCTCCCCTTTTATGCCTAGTCCCCAACGAGGGGTGGGGGCCGTGTGCACCCCCAGATATCCCACAGAGCACACACAGCCCCCCCCCGTTGGTGGCGCCAAGCGGCTTAAGCGCCTGGCCCGCCCAGGGTCCCAGAGCCCCCAGCAGCCCCTCCCTTCTTATGTCACTACATATGCATGTACCATGTTGAACTTCTATCACACCGTACGTAAGCAACCGTGCTAATTGGAGGTGTGGGGGAATGACAATCAAGGTGGGAAACGTGCGCACGCAGACAAACACAAGGGCACA